TAATTCTAGGTCAATTATGAAGAAAGTTATAGCTATAAATAAAATCGCTGCCCATGCTCTGCTTGCAGTGCTGTCCGCAGCTGTTGTTGTTGTTGCTGCTTTGGTTCAACTTTGTGCTGCATACATACACGCATAGGCACGTGATGTAAATGCATGCTGTTATAACATAAACATGTCTTCTAATTTAATTGAATTAATTAATTACTTAAATTAATTTTTTTAATCATTTAATTTTTTTTTAAATTTTGCTTTTTTGTTTGCTCGACTGTAGCGTTCTCTCTTGTTTAATTTCTGTAATTATTCTAAACACCCGACTTTAGCTTCCCAACTTGTTTGATTATGAGTCCGTATGCCAGTTAAATTACGATAGGTTAATTATGAAGAAAGTTATACCCATAAATATACTCTCTGCCGAAGCTCTGTCCGCTGGTGTTGTTGTTGTTGTTGCTGTGATTAATTCCTGTACTGCATACATACATACACGCATACAAACACGCATAGATACGATGAGGTAAGTGTATGCTGTTGAAACTGTTCATAAACATGTTTTCACTTTTGTTTGTACATATGTACTATGTATGCATGTATTGAATATTTTTTATTTAATTAAATTAATAATCAGGGTGACAAGCGGAGTCGATATAGCCATGTCCGTCCGTCCGTCTGGACGAGCGCAAGGATCTCAGGAAGTACAAGAGCTACAATAACCAAACTTCTATATATGTATTAAATAAATTTTCTTTATTAATTTAATTAATTAATTCAATTTTTTTTAAATAATTTAATTTTTTTTAAATACTATTTTTTTTTTAATTTTCCTTTTTCGTGGGGAGTACAGGCTATTTTACTGTCGGGCTTGCTCGCCTGTAGCGTTCTATCTTGTTTTTAAAAAATTTTTTTTAATATCCTTTTTTTGTGTACAGAGTGCAGGGTATTTTAGTGTCTAGCTTGCTCGAATGTAGCGCTTTCTCTTGTTAATTCTTGGTTGGTGCGCACCACTGGTTGGAAAGTATAAGCCCAAAGGGTACAAGGGTATATTCGTTTTGTGCGATTGCACATGGAACACACAGAAGGAGGCTTGGTAGACCCCACAAAGTATATATATTCTTGATCAGCATGACAAGCCGAGTCGATATAGCCATGTCTGTCTGTCTGTCTGTATGAACGCAAGGATCTCCGAAAGTATAAGAGCTAGAATAACCAAACTTGGTATACAGATTCTCCTGAGCCCGAGAAAGGACGAGTTTGTTCATTTTTTCTGATCCACCCCCCCCCCCCCTCCACTCCCCCCTATTAACGATTTTCTATAACTCCCGTAATTATTGGAATTTTGAACTGAAAACTTTGAAAATTTGGTAGTCACATTAGGTTAGTGATTATATATCCGTATACCAAGTTTCATTATGATAGAATGATCGGAAAGAAAGTTACAGCCATATAACCAGGCCCAATGCACACATACATACATATGTACATGTACACAAACACGCATAGGCACGATTCTGATGTAAATGTATGTATGCATGTATGGAATATTTTATATTTAATTTAGCTAATTAATTAAATTAATTTAGTTAATTTAGTTAATTAATTAAATTAAATTAATTAATTAATTTAATTTCTTTTTTGTGGGGTGGTACAAGGTATTTAAGAGTTGAGCCTGCTCGACTTTAGCATTCCTTTCTTGTTATAAATATATGGATCCTAAAATGTATTAAAACAGTTTTCCTTTTTTCTCTCTTTAAATTTTGAATTCTGTTTTTTTTTTCGAGGGTAGTATCAGTTCGTAGACTCTTTTCACTTATTACGGTTATGATTCTTATATCTAGTTAATCTTATATAAAGGGTCTGAGCATCGATGAACAGAAATAGATTAAACATGAGGAAACGGTATGAAATTTGGAATTTGATTACGTTACCAGAGAAGTCGTTTCGAGTGAGTGAAAAGCTAATTTAAAAAGAGAGTATATAATTTTCAGGTTTTATCTATCTATTATCGGAGCTGGTATCAGAGATTTAAAAAGCCTCTTCCTAGAGCGTGACATTCATATTTGAAGGATTGTTTTTAAGCTTGGCTATAAAGTCAAAAAAGCGTCATAATGTCATTATAAGTGGGAAGTGGTTCAAATATCTCAAGTGCATAAAAAAAACCATTAACTTTACCTTATAAAGTAGCACAGAATATAAGAATGCTGCGCCACAAAGAATTGGATTGTTGAGCAGGAGGACAACCGAGAAAAGGACGGATTGACGCGGCAGAAGAGAACGATGAACATAAGAAATTATACGGAACCTGTGAAGGACAGAGAACTCTGGAGGCGAATAGTGAATAGGGTTTTGAATAGCATTCCATTTATTTACCATATCCTACTTAGTTCAGGCCCTTTGACGTGATTCGAACAAAAAAATATATCACACTCATAAAACTTAAGCAATTGGCAACAGAATGGCTAACTGTGTACTCGCAAGCAATTAAGTAAAATAAATCAGAATTATTTTTGGCGAATGTTAAATTTAGAAATGCGGCAAAAGTTAAAGAACATCGTCTTAAATGGAACAATTCAAATCAATTGAAATAAAAAACAGAGTGCAACAAATAAAAATAGAAAACATTTAAAAAAAATAAATTATACTGATGATTGTATTAAGGAGAGCGGCGACTGGCAATCATTGAATAAAAAATGCTGAACAAATGCAATTGGCGAGCGGGCACAATGTTTGCGGCTTGCCTGATTTCGGTTAATTGCAATGAAAAATGGACTCAGAGCGACAAGTTTCGCAACTTCGTGGCAACAACGACGACACAGGCGACGATTAAGAGGATGGAGGCTGATAACCATGCGCTTCCTCAAGCAGCGTGCGAAGATCAACCTTGATGTTGATTTATAGGTGCCGTTCTAGTAGCCACCGCATCTATTTCGGTGCTGCTTTGCTAATGTCGCCTGGCTGCCTGCATAGCGCCGTGTCTGGTGCCCCTCTCGGCTCGACTCGGCTCGCCTCTCCGCGTCTCATTGCTGCATGTGCAACGCCCAGCAATTGTCTTGCCAACGAAACCAGAAAAAGAGTTTCTGCCAGTCCTTCTAAGGTTCGTTTCTATTTTCTGCCGTCAACATCGTCACTGCGGTCGCAGTTGCCGCTCTTTAGCCACAATTTTGGCAATGCAATCGGGGCAGACGCAGCCCCTAGCCACACACTAATCGATTGGCAACGGATCGGGAGGGTAACAAAAGCAACAACAACAACGCTACTGTCACGCACATTTGATTATCAGTCGTGCAGATTGCTCGCATTTTTATTGGCCTGCGCATTTCATACCTCTCCGAGCTAAGTGCATTGTGTTTACGAACAATGACAGGCATTTTGTCACTGTGTGCGGGAAATTTTTTTGTCTGCACCCTACACTTAATGAACTTACTATGATGGTTCCGCTAGCCCCCAAATTCGATTATTTCTAGGTTCAGATGTTAAGCTATCATTACATTGTCTTTAGATTTAGGTAGTGTCTGCCAGACACTAACTCTCCGATCTAGCTAGCTTTAACTAGTAATTCTGTTAATCTGCGGTTGAACGGCGCAGTAGTATAGTATAAGCGCCACCTTTTTCTTGTAGTAAGACAAGGATTGGCTGTCGTCTCCCACTTGCCTTAGAATTTTGAGCTTAATGTGGTTTCCGTATAGCCAAAAATATATATTTATGGGAAAAAACATTTAAGCTTAAAATGACATTTGAAAATTACAGCGAATTAATTATGTTCGTTTTAAAAGTAATTAAAAAAAGAAAGGAATGCTTAAGTCGAGGAGACTTAACTCTTAAATACCCTGTACCACCCCGCAAAAACAAAGTATGAAAAACAAGAAAGGAATGCTAAAGTCGAGCAGGCTCAACTCTTAAATACCCTGTACCACCCCACATAAAAAGAAATTTAATTAATTAAATTAATTAAATTAATTTATTAATTTAATGAAATTTATTTAATTAATAACTAAATTTTAATATAAAATATTCCATACATGCATACATACATTTACATTTACATCAGAATCGTGTCTATGCGTGTTTGTGTACTTATACATATGTATGTATGTGTGCATTGGGCATGGTTATATGGCTATAACTTCTATAACTTCTATAATGATAACTTGGGATACGGATATATAATCACTAACTGGATGTGACTACAAAACAAAAATATTGCGTCATAATCATGCCCTTCTGAAAAAACCAATAGCTCTTACTAAAAAAATCATTTCTTTAATCACAATAATACAATGCAATCGATTTAAGAGCGTTTTAAGCATTTTAATCGATGACATGAAATATGTAGATGTCTGATGCTTTAATGTAGTACTAATCTATATTTTATAATCTATATAATATTTTTATATTAAAATAACATTTTTAGAATCGTATTTTACAATTGAAATCATAACCATTTGATAAGCAAATGTCTTAAATCAAATATCGTCATTTGTATCCACATAATCTGTGATCAATTTATTTATTTACTAAGTGCCTATTAGGTGCCACTAATTTTAATTGTTTTTATTAAAATAACATTTTTCTATTTTTTACAATGGCTTTTTTAACTTAATTTTTATTTAATAAATTGCCACTTTATTTAGTTATCTATTGGTGTTTGTTTTCAGAATTTGCAAACTGGTGCCCAAAAAGTCTAGAAATTTCAATAAATTCTAAAAATGTGCAACCTCCTAAATTCGACCAGTTTGGGCTTTAAACTTTCGAATGGGCCTACATCATTTCCCCATAGCCTCACATATCGAAATGGGGAAAACGGCTTATTTGGATCGATTGACGCTGATTGTCCCATACTCTCTATCGCTTCTCTCTCTCTAACTGCAATTGGGCGCTGACATCTGTATGGGTGATATGCCTCTTCATGCTGCCGCCAATTGAGCTGTTACCTTAATTTGAAAACGTCCCGCGAGAGCCTTTAATATAAAGGCCATCCGTTGTGCTGAGCGTGCCATTTGTTGTTGAGTTTAGTCGCCAACAAGAATCGAACGTGCGATTTTTATTTTTCTATTTACATCCTTTCGTTGGCCTAAAAGGTGTGTGTTGCTGTATGTGTATGCCTCACAACAAGGAACATTTATTAAAAAAAAAACTTAATACGAAGTGTGCGGAAAATAAGGACTGCGGCATTTCTCTGGAAAATGACAGTCAAGAGTGAAGTGTTAGAAATGAAAAATATATCTTTTTTTTTCAAATTATGGACTCTTGCATAATTTGATTGTTGGAATCCAGTTAAATCCAGGTCGTATATATCGATAAATTTGTTATTAGAAATTTATTGAAATTCAATTATACTTGTAGTTACAAGTATATAAGTATAATTATGAAAAGTGTGCTGCAATTGATTCAGAACGTCAATGAATGTTACGTATATTATATATATTAAGTTTAATGCTTTTCTGATCAATCTGAAAATGTCTTAAAATAACTTCAATGACTTCAATGCCTTCAATGGTTGTAATTTAAAGAAGAACGAAAAGAGTATTTTGTTTCGATATATGTATATACGATTACATATGTTTGCTTTTTTGAATGATCTAAAAACGTCTATAGATAATATTAGCACACAGAACTAGAATCTGCATTATTATTACAATTTTTAAAATTATAACAAACATTATCACATCTTTGTAGAATTACAAAGAATGCCTCAGTTGTTATTGAAAGAATTTTAAGAGAAATATTAATTAAAAGTAAAAACAAAAGAAAAAATTTGGCTATTTTTAGAGGACGCAGGATTAGGAAAGTCAAGTTTCAATTTTATTTCCTCAAAAAGAAAGACATTTGTGTATAAAACTATTAATGCTAGAATAGAAGCTCATTCTTATTCCGTATTTACTATGCCAGAGCAGCAATTGGAGCTCTGTATGGAGCTCCCCAATGGTTGTTACTACAAGACCCTCTGCACCCCTTTCAGATAAACTGCCAAGATGTGTGACGATGATGCGGGTGCATTAGTTATCGACAACGGTTCGGGCATGTGCAAGGCCGGCTTTGCTGGTGATGATGCCCCCCGTGCTGTGTTCCCATCGATTGTGGGTCGTCCACGCCACCAGGGTGTGATGGTGGGTATGGGTCAGAAGGATTCGTACGTTGGTGATGAGGCTCAGAGCAAACGTGGTATCCTGACACTGAAATATCCCATCGAGCATGGCATTATCACTAACTGGGACGATATGGAGAAAATCTGGCATCATACCTTCTACAATGAGTTGCGTGTGGCGCCCGAGGAACATCCAGTTCTATTGACGGAAGCTCCACTGAATCCTAAGGCTAATCGCGAGAAGATGACCCAGATCATGTTCGAGACCTTCAACTCGCCGGCCATGTATGTTGCCATTCAGGCTGTGCTGTCACTATACGCCTCCGGTCGTACCACTGGTATTGTCTTGGACTCCGGCGATGGCGTCTCGCACACCGTGCCCATCTATGAAGGCTTTGCCCTGCCACACGCCATTCTGCGTTTGGATTTGGCCGGTCGCGACTTGACCGATTATCTGATGAAGATATTGACTGAGCGCGGCTACTCCTTCACCACCACGGCCGAGCGTGAAATCGTGCGCGATATCAAGGAGAAGCTGTGCTATGTAGCTTTGGACTTCGAGCAGGAAATGGCCACAGCGGCTGCCTCCACCTCCTTGGAGAAATCGTATGAGTTGCCCGATGGCCAGGTCATCACCATTGGCAATGAGCGCTTCCGCTGCCCCGAAGCTCTCTTCCAGCCCTCGTTCTTGGGTATGGAATCATGCGGCATCCATGAGACTGTCTACAATTCGATTATGAAGTGCGATGTTGACATCCGTAAGGATCTGTATGCCAACTCTGTGCTGTCTGGCGGTACCACCATGTACCCAGGTATAGTTCAAATTCTAAAACTTCAGGAGAGTATGAAATGAAAATCTGCGGCTATTTCAGGTATTGCTGATCGCATGCAAAAGGAAATCACTGCCCTGGCCCCATCGACCATTAAGATCAAGATCATTGCTCCCCCCGAGAGAAAGTACTCGGTGTGGATCGGTGGCTCCATCCTGGCCTCGTTGTCCACCTTCCAGCAGATGTGGATCTCGAAGCAGGAATACGATGAGTCCGGTCCCGGCATTGTTCACCGCAAATGCTTTTAAATCTTTCCCGAGCCGCGAAAGATCAACAAAAGCTACTGCCCTAGCGAATACACAAACCGTTGGCAGCGCGCTTTTCAACAACATCGGCGCCCACAGTGATAAGTCAAGACACTTACCAGCAACAGCAACAACAACAACAAAAATCCACTGCACCGTTATCATTCGAATCAAAGCCACAAGATACAACAGAACTGGTGACAAGATGCAAAAACATCCTTCATTAGAACTAACTCAAGCATTTTGTCACGGTCACTGGCGGTTTTTATTATAAGTGAAATAATTAATAATAATTTGTGTAAAAATCGTCTTTGTGAATAAAATAAATATTTTACGTGAGAGAGCTTTTAACCTAGACAGCGAATTGAAAGAAAGCCACAAATATATATTTTCCATTACAAATACATATAAACATTTTCAATAAAGACAAATTTTTCCATATTACATATGTATAGTATTATGTTAAATTACGTAACAAATAGATCAAATCAAAAATCAACCTAAAAATTAAAATTTTGATTAAATGATGCACAGTGCATTAAAATAATAATTTATGGATACGAACAACAGAAAAACTTCACCAAATCCAACTCAGTTCCATTTTAAAATGGCGAAATAGTGCACCATAATAATGAATGTGAGGTCTACTTCAGATTGCTCATTTTTTCTAAAGACTTAGAACGCGCTGGCTAATATAAAAAGCTCATAAATGCAACATGCGGCATTTAAGATGTCTTTATAAACAAAAAAGTTTTCCTATGGTCACTCAAAGTTTTCGATAACAGAAAGTCTGTTAGGCCTCCTTACTTGTTACACTTACATTTCGCTAAATCAAATCGATAACGATAATCAATTATTAATACCGCTAATCGATAACTAAAATAGATAAATAAGTTAATTAACAGAAATGAACAGAAGTTAGATCAATTCAATACTTTTTCAAATATTTCTTCATATTCATATTGTCCAATAGGGTAACAGGTGTATTACCGGTTTTATTTAATAACATTTTTGACGCACTTCGTATCAAGACTACAATAGTTAATTTTTATTTTTTTAAGTCTTTAATTTTTTTACTTTGACAATTTTTAATCATGCATCTGTCAAGATGGTTTCGGGATATTCGAACCGAGTGCCAACTCAAGGAACGAACTCACATTGTGGGATTTTGCTAGCTCGTTGAGCTATGCTAGGCCCCAATAGTTACAAATAAAAATTGCTTAATTCTCCATAGTGTTTCCATCCATACAGTCATATATCTGAAAATGTGCTTGCTAGTTGATTACAAATTGAAAATAAAATCATCTGTTCGAATTTGGATTAATTTTATTAAATAGTTTTTTAACATGAACTTATTTGTTACAAGATAATTGATTATTTAAAGTGCTAGCATCTACATAAGCAATAATACCGAGATACATAAATTTTTAATAAATATACAATTACGATAATAGAATGAAATGAGCTATGTGTGTATGTATATAATTATAATCGAAATACAACAAGGGGGCAAAAAGTCATTTGTATATGGTATAAGAAATTGGAAAGTTTTGTTGTTGGATTTAGAATTGAAGGGGTCGATGATGTATTTTGATAAGCTGATAAAATTACATTAAGTCTACTTTGTATTTATCACCATTGAGTCCAAAAGGTAAGTAGTTTAGGTTTGATGCCCGACCGACTGATTTGCTTGGCAGTATGTGAATACAATATACGAGTACATCAGAAAGGTAGGGGTGGATTTTTGGTTTTTGTATGTCCATTCTATTACTAATGAGTATTCTGTTTTCCCTTGGACACATACACGTATTTATGTAGTATATATAGTATATTCTTATGCAAAAAGTGTGTGTACAAATATTGTATAAAACATTGCACTTAGTTCAATTACTTTTCGATGTAGAAACTTCATCAAATCGCTGACATCGTTTGGCTAAATTTCGAAAAAATCCATCGGCTGAATAAGTTTATTTGCCTAATACTCTCTGCCTAGGCAAACAACTTAGGGACTTCTTGGAGGAGCGGCATAGTTTTCCAAAAACAGTCCACTATATCGCCTTCTCACTTTGGCTCGCCGTTAAACTTGAACGATGAACTACTTAACGGCTTCCCAGGGAATACCTGACCCTAAACGATGGGTCGGAGGTTGTGAGCTGCTTGGGCAGTACGAGATAAAACCCCATTCCCCAACAAATAAAGTGCCGCAGAAGTGTAACAAATGCCTATCTTTTTTCCTACTGTTGTTGAGGTTGTAGTTGATTTGGAAGAAGCTTATACAAACAACGGCTTGCCGATGTTTCAAGTTTTTTTTTTGTTTTAAAAATGTAAGATGGTTAAAAAATATTATGGCTAGCTTTGTAACGACATTGGCTCAAACCCAATTGCTAGAGGTTGTATTTCAAATACAAATATCAAATTAATAATTCCCTAAGCTTAAATGTACGTGTATTTATATTTACAGTTATATATTGAATACAGTTATATAGTTGAATATTCAATTCGTTTTCATCGATTTTGTTTCTCTACTCTATTCAAGCCCGACTTGATAAGCGTATCTGATAGCTGTTTAACATTCGATTTTGTTTGAAGTAGCTCAAAACTAAGGCAGAAGATTTTTAGCTTGTGTTTTTAATTTGAGTTTGCCGTATATTGGTGACCGATTTAAATACTGCAAGTTAAATATTTATATATCCATGAACTTGGAACAAACGAAGAAAAAATCCATTGAAAAATCCGTTTCAAAATCAAAATCGAGTCTTAAACTGCAATCAGGAATGCCCTATACATGCCCTATATGCCCTATACAGATACATGTCCTGGCATTTTTAACATCAATTTGTTCGAGTTTAATAATATTTAGTGAATAAATACTTGTTTTTTTTTTCTTTTTGGTCACCCAACGATGCTTTCTATAATGCTCGCCATACACGAAATCAGTTGATTTTAAACGCTATGCATTTTCAAATGTACTATACTCGAATAAGTAGTTAAATACCTAATTACTTGTGCGCTATAAATATCTGTGTATATGTATACATACATATATATTTAATACTATTTAATTTGTAAATGTTAAACCTTCCAAGGGAAGTACATTTGCTTGGGTTTGGTGAGGCAGTGCAAGACATCAAATTAAATTTTAAATGCATAAGAGCGCCACGCAAAAAGTAGCACCCGCGAATTTAGCATACCACACAGCAGCTGGAGCGGGCGGCTCATCATAAAACATCCAGATAAAGTCCAGAGCTGGGCGATATAGAGCAATGTCCGCAATAGCCGCCACAGAATGCGCGCCGTTTCACCTTGGCCGTTTCAAACTATAGGAATATTGAGAGTAATGGTTAGATATCCAATGGACAACTATTCATGTATATAGCTCGTCACCTACCCCGTTATCACGTCGCATGACCACACTGTTGCCGAAAAGCTTCCAGGTCGCACCTGGACGCATCACAAATCCTGTGTGCTCCAAATTGATGGAAAAGGCGCCCTGCGGACAAGCCATATTGCGATTATAGCAGTCCCCGGCCGATCCATAGACCTGTCGCTGTTCCCCAGACGTCGTCGCAAACTCAAAATCGTTCTCGATGACGCGCAGATCGGTTATGTTTAGTCTAAGCTTCCCGAAATGCGTGCGTCCCGAATTCTGTATCTCATGAAATTCACTTGCGCGCGACTCAGGCGGACAGCTGTCCGGATAATGGGACCTATACTCATAGTAGATGGAGTAGTTCTCGAGCTGGTTCAGATTTATATACTCTTTAGGTGTCCGACTATTCATTTTGTGGCAATAGATGCGTACAGGACGCGATCGCACATACAGTATATATTCGCCATCCTTGTAGGACCGTTGTATTTGCTGCACATCAGCGCACGACTGCGGCTTGTTGCATCCGGATGGCGGCGAGCATTGGTGCTCGGTAGATCGTTCTTTGTGGGGACAGACAATGCGTCGATCCATGGAGTCGAAGCAGAAGATACGACGTCGTTCGATGCCCTTGCAATTGCACTAAAGAGATAAAGAGTTCAAATGAATTTCATTAGGCATGTCCTGGTACAATTAGTATGTGGCTGTTACTCACCTTCATCACCACCTTCGACTTTCTGCGCACGCAATTACTGCAGATTCTACGCTTCAACGGTCTCCGCGTGGCATCACAATATCTCTCATCAATGCGAATGCCATGTCCGGTTTCGCAGCCGACGTGACGCACCTGGTAATCCTCCGAGCAGTCTGTCGCACATTGAGTCCACTCCGACATGGCCCACTTGCAGGTCATCTTGCATGACTTTTTCATTTTCTTGAATGTCGGCTTCTTTATATTCCTGCTTATGCAATAGGAATTATCGATTTTAACCCGCATCTTGGGCGCTCCTCGCACCTCAGACTTATAGACACGTGCACAGTACTGCATCCTTCGTCGCTCGCCCGTGCCGCATACAGCCGAGCACTGTGGAATATTCGGAGCATTGCAAACACGTACTTTTTTCAAGGATTCGCAGCGACTTAACACTTACCGGCGTCCACTCGTTCATGTATTTAATCTGACAGCATTTGCGTACCTCCTGCGGTTTCTTCTCAGGCGGACAGCCAAGTCCTTGTGGGTGCATGCAGGTCACAGTTCTACTTTTTTCACACCAATCATTACATTTGCCCCATTCCGAGGCAACCCAGTAATTCACAGACCGAGGGTTTTTCTTTAAAAATACACAAGTATTGGAACATTAAAAATAATACACGCAAAAGATAATAAGATATGTACCTATGTATGTATATCACTATCTCGTTATATAGCTAAACAAAACAGCACCCAGGTCCCAGGAAACAAACTTCATCAGTTCTATGTATATACGATATAGTAATCTGATCCATTTAAAGCTTCTTTATTGATTACGTTAAGAAACTACCCAATCCCAATATAATACTGATATCCATTGAAGCACAGTTGTTCGTGCAATGAGTTTTTAGCCCTGTTCATTCCTATGTCAGCTGTTTGAAATATAATTGACTTGTTCCTTTTAAATATTCTTACAGGTATAATTCGTCTCATCATGCTAATTATTAATTTGTTAATAGTTCGAGATCTGCTTTTGGACAAGCAACTGTGGTAGCTTAGAAAAGTTTTACTTGAGTTCTTCTTTATGTTCTTACCCTGCACTTATTTCTAGTGTGGTTTGGGAGCTTACCAGGCCTTCAATGTAGTAACATGGTTCCTTATTGCATGTTCTGAGCAAATTCTGTTGCAACCCCGTTCCTTCAATGTAGTAACATGGCTCTATATTGCATGTTCTCAGCAAATTTTGCTGCAAATCGCGTTGATCGCAGAATTCATCCTTGGTTGGTGTATTCTTTATATAGCAACCTTTAGTTTTTCGCACTTGGGTTCCTGTGCCGCAGGTTTTGGTACACTTAAGGAATAAACCAATTTAAATTAGATATGAGGATTCCTAGTCATTGGAGTCGTTGTCCACTCACCGTGGACCAATCTGTGTAGGCCCAGCAGGGTCCGACGCATTCCTCATTTAACACCTTTAGTGCCATCAACTCAGGCTTCAGATCACAGTAGGACATATCAACGATATTCGTGTGTTGAATACCCCTGAATGTCTGCATGCATTTGTAAGCCATTTCCCACTTACCCAGTTGGCCACATGCAGCCGAACACTTTGTTTTGCTTATGTTAAGACTGTTAGGGAAATGGGATGATTAAGGAAGTTGATTTTCCCTCTTTCCGTTTAGGAACTTACTTAAGACTGCATTCGGTGTTGCAGGCGCCAGTTTCCATGCCTGGCTTGGCAGATTCGTCGCAGAACTGCGGTGCCACCTTCAAACCTTGAGTGATACTCACACACGCCGGACTTCGATATCTGCTGCCGTCGCAGAGCGAATCGCAATTGCTCCAGGTTTGCATTTCCCAGCGATAAATCTCCTCCTCAGGCTCCACATAATTGGGTTTATCCAACGTGTAGGTGTAGGTAATGAGTATTGTGTCATTATTCTTGGCCGCACTCAAGTCAATCGAGATAATCTGCAAATGTAATATCGAAGCACTCAGGCAAAGCTTTAAACGTTTTTTTTTTTTCAACAATGGTACCTCCACTATTAGATCTCGTTTTAGTTTTCTTGAATAGGTCGTATTAATGCGCTCTATAGTGCTGTTGGAGCCATTGTATTCGAATGTTAGGCCGGCGTAGTGGTCCTTTTTTCGAAAGGGTATGACCAAGTTATCACTGTTCAGTAACGGATGACGTCTATCGTCGCTTAGCGCTATGTAGTTGTGCTCTGGATAACCAGGCTGCGTAATAACAATATTTGATGCACCTGAAATCAGTTAAGATAGTTCAAAACGTTTGTTCGACACAAACAGGGCAGGGAAATAAATTTAAAAAGAAAAAATCAACTAGAAAGTAGCGACTACTGCGATGGGTCTGGGTTATCGATACTTTATATACTAGTTGCAAATAAATATATCGGTTCAACTGGACACATTTCTTTTAAGGTTATTGGGGATTTATTTAAAACAAAATTAATAGAAATGAATCGAGAACAAATTGTGACATAATAAGAGAAATTTCACTATTTCAACAAAATTGGGATCTGATTCTAGGGATTGTTGTGTGGTATGCTTTTATGTGGTCGTTGAACATTGTGATCAGCGACAAACCTGCCAATTCATTATGTTCGAAATAACTAGATGAACTAAAGGAACTAAATCCAAGAAATTAGTTCAGCTGTTCATTGCGAACACCAAGTCATTGTAACTTGTTCGGCCCGAAACTTGTTCGGTCTGATCGTGACGTACAATTGTTTCTTTAAACAGAATTTAATCCGTTTGTGCAAATTCAGAAAGTCTCGCAAAGTTCGGTTGTAAATACGAGAATTTGTGTAACAAAAATTTTAAAATTGAAGTGCAAGTGCAATGACAACGTTCGCTTTTTTCTCGACCGCTCCCTCTGCCACCGCACAGATAAGAATTGCCAATTAATGGGCGATGGCGACCTCAGATAATTCGAGTCGTGACTTGTTTATGTGATGTGCGCGATTCCAGGCATGGCGCTAGCTGGTGGCGCCCGTGGTTACGTCTGTGGCAATCGGTTTCGTTCCCAATCAGTTTTTGGTGGGCAGACGTGAGGCGGTCAGTGCATTCACCTTGCGATGTCAGCGTCGCGTTATCGGGCCAGTTGGGAGAACAAAACTAGCAACAAGGCACGCGCATGTATTTGCCAGAGCAGCGAGTATATGGACCTCATAAATACATACGTATGTATAGGCCGTTGTAAATGTATTACGTTTTTTTTTTTTGTTTCGGGCTATCTTTGGGCGGGTGTAGCCCAAAACAGGTGCGATGACGATGACTCAATTGGAATGTTAGTGCCGCGCCAAAATTCGTTGGAGTCATAAAACTGTTTAATTGCACATTAAACCGAAAACGCACAAACATTTAGCATTCATTCATCAATTCATTAGCCAAAAATTTATTATAGAAATGGCTGGGCATAACATAACAGAATAAATTGTGTAAGTGTTGCCAACCGGCAGGGAGTTTTAGTTGTGTACATACCTTTTGGTATTGTCGTGACATAGAAGCAGCGTGAAGCGGGCTTTGCCTGTTTGAAAAGATCGGAGACGTAGAAATTTCCGGTGCGCTCTTCACACGTGTCGTTGCGGCCCTCGCAGACGCCGCATTTATCTGTTAAGCGAGATATACCAAAAGAAAAACATTTAAATGTGCATACATATGTACGAGTATGTATATTATATTTAGGGGCTATTCGTTTTATTTTTGTGGCATTGGTCATTGGCCCCTATTGGCGGGCTGATTCATTCAAAACACTTTGATCTATATTTACCCAGTTTTGCGATTGAGTTGAGTTCATTGTCGCAACCTGCCGGCCGGCAAATGCCATTGACACACTTGTCAAAACTGTCGATGGAGCAGGTGGTGCCATCTCGCACTTTGTCGCTCAGTTGAAAATAGGCGCTATTGTCTTCCATGCGGCAATATAGTTTACACTTGTCTTGCACAGACACTGAAAATAATTTTAGTTGAGATGATGTACTCATCATCTGCGGCATCCTCTACTTACATCCATATTTTGGTATCCACTTGGAAGATGGGCTTATGCCTGGAATATTAAAGTTGCGACCATTCATATTGTAGCACTGCTCTTCCCGTAAATCCGTGGTGCCTGGCGGGCAGCTCTGTGTATTGCAAGAGCGGTACTTCTTGCGGCTACCCACGCAATATTTGCCACCATTTTTAGGCAGAGGGTTGTTGCACTCCCGCCTCGACTCCTGCACGCCACCGCCACAGGTCAAGCTGCAGACTGTATAACTCGACCAAGGGCCCCAACCACCATTAACAGATTCAACAGTGCTGCCGTTGCGGGGCACGCAATTGCCGCGCTGGCACCAGTGGCGATTATGATTGCAGGGCGTGCCATCAGCCCAGGGTAAATGGCCAGTGCTGCACGACTCTCCGGAGTGTAGATTCGATTTGCACCACAGTTGGGTGCACTCGACATCAATGTTGCAGAAATAGGATTGGCTGCCATGTATCAACTGGCACTGATGATCTAGTGAATAAATCTCACCCGGAAGTTGCGTAGGAACATTGGATATGTAAGAGGTGGGCGTGTCTTCCAAGCAGGACTTGTCTGATTTCCTGTGTGGGAGTTCAATATATATTTTCACAACATTTCCAATGCTAGAGTTGAGCTGCGTGCTTACTCTAAAAATTCAGAAACATAGTGCTGTGAGCACTTGGACCATGACCAGGGATGCATGTGCTCGCCCATGCTGGGCGCCATAATGTGCTTTATAGAGTCTCGGTGGTTGTGTGGAATACAACGCTTATCATCATCGTGTGGCATATTCAATCTACAAGTGAAGGTGACTTGTAGCAAGCACATATGTATATTGGAAAAGGGACAACAATTGATCTTACATGTGTCCTAGTTCGTGGGCAATGGTAAAGGCGGCGGATAGGCCATTGTCCTGCACTATAGAACAGGAACGAGGATTACATACCGTTCCCAGCTCAGCCAGACCTAGTGTATGGCACTTCGCCGGATTATGCTCCCCGCAAATGTTTTTGCTGCAATCGAGAATGAATTATGTTAATGATTTGATTGCCTCTTTCTTTAGTTAGGTATTAAGATTATTTTTTTTAAGGCTTTTTGGCATTAGAAAACATTCTACATAATTAATGCCTTCGAGAATATTTCTTTGTCCGCTTACCGTGTAATTAGCATAGCCGTGTCATAGTGATAGCCGTACTGTGGTAGATGCGAGCAAAAGTGCTTTAGTAGTTCGGCGGTGGAGTTGCCCGGACGCGGATCTCGAATCTCCAGTAACTTTACCAGAGAGATGTGTATGGAGTTGCCAATGCTAGCGTCCGCAAATATGTTCGATACAATCGAAAAAAGTATGAGAATGTAGGAGTAGAGGGAATTTTTGTTTTTGTGGAACTCGGCCATGGTTCTGTCCACGGCAACCAACACCTCCAGTGTATACACCTGATTGTCGGTGTTGTGGCGCTTCCGGCGCGTGCGTTTCGAGGTCGCCCTCGTGGCCATCAGCTCCAACGCCTCCAAGTCCAGCTCGAAGTCGGAGACAGCGTGTCTGGCATTACGCTGCGAGCGCCGCCAGACTCTGTGCAAGATCTGATTGTCACCGCCAGAGGCGACGGCGTCGTCGTTGCTGCTACTTTGGTTGACAGGCTGTATGAGCAGCGTACCGAAACCCGTTTTGATATAACCAGTCTGCAGTGGGGCACCTTATTAGTATTCATATTCGTATTGATAAGCCTAATTTGTGTTTTTCGTATAATGTATTTTTTTGCAACTTAAATTGTAAATTTTATGCAAAAATGTCAAATGTGTGAGTGTGTGACTGAATGTGCCTGAAGGCCTCAAAGCTGTTAATGAATATGACACCAGTTGGCCTTACCATCCCACCGCATAGCGATACAGCGACATCCGAGTGCTGGTCACCTTCCACATGACCCTTGTAAATACAGCCCAAGTAGTGGCCCTGTTCCTGAGTATCGGTCTCCTCGATATCATTGTTTAATATGCGAATCACGCGAAATGTATCAGTCGGTATGAATGATGTGTCCTGATGCAGCACCAAATGCAACGCTCGTCCAAACACCTTTAATATGTACTCCGGATGTGGATCCCAAATTTGACTAGACTTGCTGCGAAAGGTGCCCGTCCTGCTGAACGCTGAATCTGAAAACGTCAACATGCTTTATTAGTTTCAAACCTAACCAATAATCTGGGGATATCACTTTAAATAATCAGTAAATCATGTATGTATATTATGTTAAGCAGGTGACTCATTCTGGACTTGGAAAACTTCAACTGGCGAGTTATGAACAAATATTTAGGCATGGATTAATATAGTACACATATGTACTATATGTATATGTAATACAAGTATGTTTACCTCTTCCTTTAAGTTTTACTGTGCGACACTGTTTGAGCTTTGTCAATCAGATGCAGTTTTTATATCTTGTACCCAAAGGGTGAATGTAGGTAGGTAGATGGGGCAGCCAGAGCTTATGAAAACCCTGACTCACTTAGGCCGTGATTATTTTGCCCGTTTTGGTACCGCGTGGACAAAGTCCACGTCCCATATCCCGTGGTTGGCTGCATTCCTGCGCAAATTGTTACACACAAAGAGTGAAAGGGTATACTAGTTTTGTGGGAATGTATGTAACATACAGAAGGAGGCGCAGCAGACCCAAAAGTATTTATTTTATTGATCAGGATGACAAGACGAGTCAAGCCATATCCGTCCGTATGAATGCAAGGTTCTCAGAATGTATAACAGCTAGAACAACCAAACTTGGTATCCAGATTCATCTAAGACCGAGAAAGTACGAGTTGGAGTTTTTTTTCGTTATAGCCATAAATATAATCTCGGCCGAAGCTTTGCCCGCAGCTCTGCCGGCAGCTGTTGTTGTTGCTGCTTTGATTTTTTTCTTTACTGCATACAAGCACGCATACACATGATTCTGATGTAAATGTATGCTGTTGAAATTGTACATAAACACATGTGTGTATGCATGTGTTACATATTTTATAATTCATTAAATTAATTAATTTCTTTAATTAAATATTGTAAATTAATTTTTTGTTGTTGTTGGGTGGTACAGGCTTTTTATACTCTGTACATGAAATGTACAAGAGTATATTAGGTTTGCGCGAGCTGAAAAATGTAACAGGCAGAAGGAGGCGTGGCAGACCCCACAAAGTATATATATTCTTGATCAGCGTGACAAGACGAGTCGATTTAGCCCTGTCTGTCTGTCTTTCCGTCCGTCCCTCCGTATGATCACCTAGATCTCAGAGACTATAAGAGCTAGAGACACCAAATTTTGCACAAAGATGCGTTATGTGTGTATTCTATACAAGTTTGTTTTATTTTTTTGATTCCCCCCCCCCCCCGCACTTCCCCCCTATGGGAGTTTTCCCGAATTTCCATTCGTATAATCGCCTATATCTCGGAGACTATAAGACCTAGGAACACCAAATTTTAGTCCCAGATGCCTTGTGTGAATACGCAGAAAATGTATATTTTGGAATTTCCCTCCCTCCCCCCCTCTCTCCCGCAAATGCGATTTTCTCTAACTCCCGTAATTCTTGGAATTTTGGAAATACCCCCAGTTGGTTATTATGTGTCCGTGTGTCAAGTTTCACTATGATAGATTGATTTAACAAGAAGTTATAGCCATAAATATATTTGCTGCTGCAGCGCTGCTCAAGCGCTGCCCACGGCTGTTGTTGATGTTGCTGTTTAGTTGACTGCGAAAATGCTTACATAGACACAAATAGACGCACATAAACATACATACACTCACATAGACGCAATTGCTTTGTATATGTGCAATTATATACCCTTTACGTGAGTTCGAATACCGAGAAAGGTAAAATCGATCAAATTTTTTTAAATTTTCTTATTTTTTCTTATTTTCTATAATTATTGTAAACATATGTACAGAGTTTTTCAAAGTCGGGACACCCGACTTTAGCTTTTTTACTTGTTAAAGGTTGAGCTCGCTCGACCTTTCTTGTTACTACTACAAACGATTATTAAAATTAACTTAACGGCATCGAAAACAGGCTCGGAGCTTTAAATGCTCATACTATCTTCTAATTACTGCTTTTGAATATTGAAACTAAATTATTTTGCAGGAGATAGCTTTGATGCATTTTCGAACTATTTTTGAGGCGGTTCACAAATTTATACTAAATCTGTAATGCCTTTCTGATCGTGAAGCGTCTCTTCAGCATATATATATAGTACATATTTATATACATTGCATATATATCTATTTATAGATAATCTGTAACTTACCTTTCTGACTACTGTTGCCGTCGCTATTTCGTTTCGATTCATATAGCAAATCATCCGCATTTAAACTAGAATTAGCGATCTTGATGGGCGTAACAAGATCGCTGTGATTGTCATCACCGATGTCCTCAAGAGTTATTTCGCCACCCATATTATCATCATCGCCCCAATCGATAACATTTGTGTCGTTGATAAAAAGCTCAGTAGATTCAATAAAATGTAGAGGCGGTAGTTTTGGTGGAGCGATTGTGTATTTTGAATTGTAACCGCCACTAGAGCCACTTCCAATGAAAAAGATAAGCGCGCCAAAAAGGCACAGCGCTGGGACGGTCAGTATGAGGCAGACGTTATGTTTCCAGTGCGTGGACATGTTACTGCATTTATTCTTGTAGAACCACCATTCGCAAGTCTTCTTCAGCACGAGCTGCAAAAAAGAAAGATAGATACAGCTCAGTAGTTGTATAAGGCGTTGGAGGAGGGAGATGTGTCTTGTCAAGTTATAACGACTATGTATACGATATTGAACAAACATATCGATGCGTGACTAAACGAGCTTGCAGATTGGTTTCTGCTGGTCCGTTGATTTCTATGCGCGTGCCCTAATCGCTGTCACGTGACGCCCGCCAACGCTCCGATAGCTCAGAAAGTCGCCAGAAAGCGCCACAAAAGATTTGCAGCATTCTCTCACAACTCACAACTGCGAACGCGCCAAGTGGCGGGGGCAGATAAGCAAAGCTCTGGCAACAAATGCACGTTCAATGCCAGCGAATTCTGCCGACCCCAATGCCCCTGAGCTACTAGTCTCTACGTCTGTCTATCTGTCCATCTGATCGACCGATTAGTTTTGCCTGCCAGCCTGTGCTATTATTTGCTGATTTGCATGATGATTTAATCTCTTATACTCGTAGTCCGAAGGCACTATCAAATAATTGATCAGCTGGCAGGCACGCCCACCTTGACCGGCGCCGATTTTGCGCCCTCGGGCGCTATTCAACTTATCTTTTGGCACTTGCTGCCGCCGGCCACTGGCCTTTGGCCGCTAGCCGGGCCGATCTGTTGAAAACATTTCCTCGCACAACAAATTGACCAACAATTTTTGTTTAAAATAACATTATTTAAGTCCGAGAGTGAAGGTGTTAAGTGTGCCAAAGGCGAATTCTACGCGCATAGAAAGCAAGAAAAAACAAAAACAACACACCCAAAAAACAAGAAAGCCAAAGAGCGCTAAACATTTTAAATGCTTTTAATTTGTAAATTTATGTTGTGCAGTTTTGCCAAATCTTTATTCAGAATGTGCATAATAAGCTTCTACTTTCCTCTTTCCTGCGTTTATGCCACACATTTCTCAGAACGTTAAATTCTTGAAAAAGCTATCAAAAAGCTGATCAAATTGAAACATGTTATTCATTAGAGAGCAAGGAGTATATGAGACACTAAAAACCTTTCCAAATATTTTTCTTTTCGAATATATTCGGAGGCAATTGCTATCTCTTTTTGTTTGCTGAGACTTCAAAGAGACCCCTTCAAATCTTTATTATGCATACGCTTTTTATATATTATTTAAATATATAGTATGCATATTCTTATAATCTCAAAAAAAAACTTTGAGGTTGGTAAAGATAATCTAAAAATAATTACAATGTTTTTTATTATTGTACAGATTGTTGGAAGCTCATATCTTTTTGGTAATGAATAGCATCCAATCATTTTTCAACTGAATTTCTTATACAACAATAACAATTTTTGAATTAATCTGTAAATAAAGATTCCTTCATTAATAGTCCAAATTTCCTTCACTAATATTTCATTAAGTTGACTGCAAACATTCACCCACCTTTATTCGTGAACGAGCGCTAATATAAACGTGGTATTTTTTTAACATCTTTCTCTATAAATACATTTTGAATACACACAAGCAAAATTGGGAATTAGTTAAACTATGGTCCATTTGCATTTTACGGCAGCTCGATGAACTTTGTGATCGCCATCCCATTTGTTATGCATTCGCATGCTGATATAAAAAAGTAACAATAATAAAACAAAACGCGAATAGCATAGTCTTTTCTGCGGTAAATACAAAACATTTCTTAGCATCACTCTTATTTCAGTAAGCTGAGACACAAATAAATGTAGAATGTTGTAAGAATATTGTAACAAAAATTTTTTAATGAATCAATCTTATGGGAAAAAAGCATATCGTTCCATGGACCTCTAATAATGCAAGCTTGCAGGCATATATATGGTTGTAGTTTTGGACAGAAAGGTATTTTTATACCCTGTAATGTCTCTCATAAGTTTCAAGCCCGTGTGTTTGCATGCCATTAAATGTTGTTCAGTAACTGCGGCAACTAAATGTTTGAGCAATTTACATAAGTAGTTTTTTATGAGCACGTAAACATTCGCTATTTTATGGCCATCAATTGTCAATAGTTATTCACCTTTTTGGAAACGATTGCCGGCAACATACTTGTAAGTTGAAATTAATTTTTATTGAAAATTGTTATTAAATGATGTGGCCATAAAAGTGGCATTAGTGCCTCGGTAACCGCGCCCTACACAGCATTTATGGGCGTTTTTACGATTTCATAGAGATAAGCTGGAGCAATTCGATGTCTTGCTCAACCATCGACCACCCAGACGCAAATTGTTGACGTAACTCGGAAGGCAGTAAAAATATTTATGTATTGCCCAAACATTTTAACAAAGCCTTGCGGCACAATCCAAAGAGACAACAGATGCGGAGGTTGTAAACTGTTTCGTAGCAAAGTTAAGTAAACTGCTGTTGAGATATTGGTACTTTTTGTGAAAGCCCCGAGCAGATTTCTTTGCTATATACCAATAACATAAACACCGCTAAGTATTTCTAAATTATTTTGAGCTAGCTCAATGCTGAGATAGTTGTTAAGAACCTAGTTCAAGAAAACCAGTTCTATAAAAAAAATTAAAGTTAACTCATAACTTTTGAATGCCTTTTAATCTTGATCTAACAAGGAGGTCTCTTATCTTCCAGCATGTGTATCGCTTAATTGAAAAAGTGATTTGCATTTATCAAAATATGCAAATGTTAAAAAATAGCAATAACTGAGAAGATTTTGTTGTGATTTCATCTCATTCTTATCTCATGCATACTTAAGCGAAAAGATGGAAATCAAAGTGCTGTAAACAAACCATCAAATTGCATATTGTCCCTCAGACTTTTGCTTAAAGCGGCTTTTTTATTTAATCGGCTTACTGCAAGACCCGATCCGACCGCGACTGTGTAGAGTATAACAGTATTCCACTTTCGGAATCACAAATAACTGGCCCAGACACGCGTGTGTCCCACAAATAAACACCTGCTAGGTATGTAAGTATGTTTCGGTTTGGATTTGGGTTTGTGCATGCCTTGGCGTGAGGCTTATCATAAATTTCGCCTAATGTGAAATGCGTGCATTTGCATTGCAAATTCGTGTTCGAAAGATTCCCCAACACATACATATGTACATACATGCATATAAGCATGGAAGAGGGCTGCCGTGCGTTCCTCGGCTGCTTAAGTCTTTAATCTTTAATTAAACCGCCTGTTGCGCTTCTTGCTAACTTATGCAAATGCTCTTCAGTGCGGTTGTGGTCCGCTTATTAACTTGTTTCTGAACAACTTTATAAATATGCAAACTATGTGCGTGCCTTCTTTTATCACAACGCCTGGTTAAGTAGCCGCCGCGTGGTCGCCGACGACGTTGTGCGCCGTTTCTGTTGCTGCTTCAATTCCACTTCTTTTAATTTATTTAATTTATTATTTAAAACAAGTGGCTGCTGCGCTCTGACTAATTGAGCAAATCGATGAGACAGCTCCGACCAGCAGCGTCGACGTAGAAAAAAAATTCCCAAAAAAACTATAACAAAACCTGTTCACACTTCTTGGACACGGGCAAGTGGCTGGTAGACGTTAACATTAATGACAAAGTAACCGTCAAAGTCGCCGTCGTCGTCGTCGCCAGTGCTGTTAGTTGAAACAAACAAGCGATTTGTGTGTCAGTCGATTATTGCTTTATATTGCCGTGCTATAATTTATGCCAATGGCTACATTTTGTTGCCGACACTCAGTCTGTCTGCGCCTCTAAGAAGCGACGCCGCACAGTCTGTCAGTGCATGCCTTGTGCGGCCTTCAACAACTTCACTTTAAGTCCCCGAGCGAATACCAGATTTTGGCAGCATTGTTGTAAAATGCCAGGCGCATTCTTTGTGCGCCTAATTGGCCGAGCCAACGAGCCAGCCGGGCCGACCGGCCAGTCGATAAAGTCTGCCAGCTGGCCAGTTGGAGGTGTTAAGTGTGTTGCGCGTGTAAAGCGAATAAAAAAAACACAACAAGAACAACAACAATAATAATATTAAGCAGCAAAATGTAGTATGAGTGTGTGTGCGTGTGCGAGACATTAGCGGTTTTTCGAAGCGAAAATTAATTTGCGCGGCATACGTGGCGTATGCGCAACATGCGTTTAATTACAGCACTTGTTGAGGCTCTGGCTCTTTGGGGCAGCAAATGTTGTTTAATTTGTATTTAATGACTTAATTGCCATGCGTCCGAGGCATACACTAGACTATGCTATGCTGTGCTATGCTATGTGCTATCTAATTATAAGTACAAGTTAAATATTTGGCGCAGCCTCTTTGCATTTTTGCTCAACACAATGCCGCGTATACATAATTTGCAGCTGCGCATGCGCACATCCAGCAAACTGCACATTAACAAATTAACAGCTACATTTTGTGGCAGCGGCAATTCATTTTGATTGCGGTTCATTAGGTATCCCATAAATCAACTTAGAAGCCAGCCTGCACTCGGCCTCTTGGTGTTCAATTTCCAAGTTACACGGGCAATTTTGGGGTGGGAAGCGGGCGCCTGTGAATGTGTGAGTGCATGTAAGTGTGTGTGAGCTCACGCTTAATTATAGCCTTGCAGTTTTGGGTATGCCAGCATTACTCGTATATGCATTTTGCTATTTGCAGTATTTGGCATTTGTGAATGATAAATAAATATGTGGACTTTATGCATTTCGATTCCATGAGCATGTGCGTATACTTGTATACTCTTAGAAGGTGTATGTTTGGCCGACCTTGCGCTTTTATACACTCAAAACCGAACGAGAAGCGTGACTACCAAAAAGAAATCTGGGCAATGCTCTCACATGATTGTTGCCACACTAAACAAGCCCAAACATTGATCCGAATTTGTATATTTAATCCATATCCGCCGCGCAAAAAAACAAAAAATATTTATGTATGTATATATATGTATATATATACTTGGAAATGTATTTTCCAAATTTGCATTCGAGCATTTCACTAGAAATGGTTTGGCAATTTTTTTCTGCAGCTAAACATCCCGCACAGACAAACAACAAATCGCAACACATTTTGGTGCATAAATCAAATGAAAAGCCA